TAATCAGCTGTCCTTCTTACTTACAGTTCTTCTGTGGCCTTTGTAATATTAAATTCATGGACACCAAGGGTGGTAGATGAGCAAAGCAGCTCAGGAGCTGTTGGTGTCCATATGTATTACCAAACCAAACTAAGACTGACCTGAAAAATATGCTCTTTAGTGGTGTGAGATGAAATGTAGAAATTTATCAATGCACGTCCTGAAATTTTGGTTCAGCTTTGTTAGCCGGGGCTTGAAATCTTGCCTCATCTTTTATCTTTCTAAGGTACTTGTTTCGTTCTTACTTCCAAAGCAGGTGACCCATCTTGTTTGGCCTTGGAAGCTAAGCAGAGTCAGGCTTGGATAGAAGATGACTTGGAAGATTGGGGGGCGGGGGAGCTCAAAGGAGGCCAGGGCAAACCATGTCCAAGTTTTTGCCAGTACCACAAGCTGGATTAAAAATTCTTCATACAAGAAGTAGCATCAGTATTTGGTTTAAGAAAGTGAGAAAGGAATAAAGTAATTGTTTTTAGAGTGGAAGCCCCTTCCTTCACACTTCCCACTCCACATTTAAAAAAAGGGTCTGAGCATCCATTACCAGCCAAAGTTACACCCACATCCCATTTGTGTGATTTTCTAAAATGAAACAAAATTATTCTGCCCCAGAAGACTTTCTTTTCCTCCACCTGGTTGATCCTAAAGCTGTGAATTCTCCACTTCATTTAACCACAGAACAGATTACTTGTGTGATAACATAAAACAGTGGTAGGGGATCCATCGCATAGTTACAGCTGCCATTTTGACTTTTTTAAACAATCCTGCCCCCCAGAAGTCCCTGATTCTATCACTATTTTTAAATGGTGCCATTATAACATTTCTTAATGGTTTAAACTGCATACATAAATCAACACCATGTCTTTTATACATATCTTTCCATTCCTTCTGGTTTTCTATTATGACTTTAATAAATTGTATTAACTGCACAATTCAGTTATTTCATATCTTCTTTTAATTTTCAACTTTTCAATAAAGCTTTCACCTTCAGAATGCTGAGAAATACAAGATTGTCAAAACAAACTTAAGAGACACCTCTAACATAGACACCAAGTTCATTTTTACAATCCAGATCTTATTGACAGGGAATTTATGATTGAACTTTGATCTGAGGGTTTCCCTAATGCCACTTCTGTGGCTCCAGCCCCAAAGTAACTCAAGTTCTTATCTCCATTACAGATGCCAGCAGCTTTTAGCAGTTTCCTGGGTCTGTAAAACAGTTGTGTGTTGTTAAATGATGGCACACCTGTTGTCTTGCTTTGTCACTTTGGGTGAATGGCAGACTATGCCAATTAGGTTATGCCAAGAAAGGAAGGGCGAGATTCTTGCCCAACTGTACACAGGTTCTCAGCATCTCTGGAGCCAAACATCTCAAAAGTGAAAAGGCCAACAATTTCAAGGAACACAATCTATGTGCAGGGAAGAGCAGTTCTAATCATGCATTTCAGCTTAATTCAACGAAATGCCTTCCCTGGTAGCTGAGAGCTAGGAATGGAGCACTTAACATGTACAAACCAAATTACAAATTCACTTGCTTTTTTTTTTTTTTTGCTCAGAACGGGGCTATTTCTAAGTAACAGTGCAGGCTACCAAGCTCCATGTGAACTGGCAGGATAAAATTCTCTCTCAGAGCTGGTTTAGGAATATTTGCTGCCCCAGTTGGCCAAATTATAAGCGCTGCAAAACATGTGTCTTTGGTGCCTGCTGAGATCTTGACCTGATTCTTAGGTGACCACCTTCAAAGCAGAGTATCTCCTCTTATGCAAAGCTTGATGGAATTAGGATTAATGTGGAATTTAAAACAGAACAGCCACTTCAGTGTGTACTGGAACTCTTCCCCATGATGCTTATTAGAGATGCTCATTTAGAATAAGAGAAAATACATTCACAGCAGATCTGTCTCAGAGGTGCGAGTGAAAACTGACCATGGGCCCATCAATATATTTACAGGCAGTGTTCCTACAACACGCTTAACCTGGTTGGCTACTAAATTCAACCATTTTCTCAATTTGCACAATAGATTGAACCATACACTAAAAATAAGCTGGGTTAGTCACCAAACAAATATTTAACCAAGGGCAACAATAACCTAGCCTATATTTCTTACATCAATGGAGGGCAATCATATCCAAGCTGCAAAAATCTAAATGAGCACAAGATGGCAGGAAAGAGGTAAGGCTTTTATGTGCATGCCTCCTGCCACCTAGTGGCCCGTTTGATCTTTGCAGCCCAGAAATTAAGCTATGACACCCCAAGAATAAGATTCTCAGAGGGGTTTCTTAATCCAGATTTGTAGAAAAAAAGGATCAGGTTATAGAAACATTAACTGGATTGTTTTCACTTTCAGAAGCTATTTTATCTCCCAGGCTCTTAAGGTGGGAATTCTTCCAGCCTCTCAGCCATGGCTTCTGGGTGAACTGGCAAACAGGTTATTCTTTTGGCTAGATAAGAGAGGATCGTCCATTCCTCCCAGAATGGGAATCTCTCAGGTTCTAAATACCAATAAAATAAATATGGTACATCTATTCAAGTGCACCTCCCAGATCTTTAACCAGGTTACACATGTTGGGGGAATACAGCCAGTGAGTTCTTAGAATGGTTTCACCTCTTCTTTTCTTTGGCTACTGCCAAAATCCTGCCAAGTTCTCCAGCAGGCTTTCCTCAGTGGCAAAAACATGCAAATAAATCTCTGTGTACAAATCAAAACTATCCAATCTGGATAATCAAGAGCACCTAATGGACTGATTAAATATTAAATCAGTGCAGACTTCTCAGGTGTAATTTTGCACTGGTGACCCTTCAGGTAAGCAGGCAATTTGTAGGCTTCTGAGTAGATAGGCAATCAACAGAGGTAGCAACCCAACAGCCACTTGGAGGTCCAAATGGATTTTATTAGACCTTCTCCCTTTCAAACTAGAAGGGTTGATTTTTATTCAACGTGCTTTGGTCGGTGCTATTAGACTGAAGTTCCAATTTAGACCATCCTTAGAGCTAAGAAAAGTGGAAAAACTTCTATAAATTACTGCCTGGAAAAAGTTCAGCAGTAATTCAGAGGAGACTGATTATTCAAGCCACCATTGTTAACTCAGGTGATCACTTTGAAAGGCATGAAGACTTGATAAGGCAGTGTGTGAATAAAATTTATTTATTCAATCAATCACACCTTCATCAAGGTTTTGTATACGTTAACAAAAATTGCATAATTACTTTAATTCATTTTAGTGGATTGCTCTGGACACCTACAATTTAATGCTCATTTATTTTTGTATCTCTGACCTCGCTATTAACATCTGGATGCACCTCTGTTCTTCCATGTGTTTTGGTGCTTTCTAAACCTACAAACTGATTCACAAAGCAAGAGAAGCTGTGCTTTATCCATTAACTTTAAATTTCACTGGGAGTCAACCCTAACAGCATTTCAAAGAGTTTCAGGATGTGTGTATGCAAAATATGATGACACATTTCGATCATAACACTTAATCCACTGCCCTATTCCTCTGTTGTCAGGAGGTGAATGGTCAGGGTGACTTGACCATTTATTCATTGGCAAACCAATGAGTAAAGCTCTCCAGGAGTGGGTCTGCAAAGGACTTTGGGAAATTCACTTAGAAGCAAACTCCAAACTGAAATCCCATCTGGAGGAAATCGTATTTCCCCAGCAATAAAATACTACTGAAAAAATGGAGAAAGGCAACGTAACTTTGAAAAAATGAGAATTGGATGGCTCTTTTGTCTCCCTATATAGAAGTGAGGAGGTCTTCTAGGAATCCTGTAGCACAGCAGCATTCAGTTTAATGGAAGATGCATTCTTTATGTGTCACCATAAAGTTTAACTTTCCCAAACAGAGTAGTAATGGACTGTGGAGAAAGGACAGGCAGTCCTCGACTTATTACATTACCTCTGCAATTCTCACTCATGTCTGGTTCCACCATATGCAACCATATGGCTATTTTATTTAAAGGCCCCTCTTGTTTCAGTTGACAGGGCTTGCTTGCTCATCACACTAGAAAATAAGCAATGGCTTCTTTGAACAAAACAACAACCAATCAACAACCCCACCAAGGTTTGCTGGACAAACTTTCCTTTGGACCACCGGAGGATAGCCTAGAAAATGATGACTAATAGTCTAAAGGTGCCCATTTCTAATTCTGATGATCTCAGAATGATAAACTGTGCACTGTGACGTCATGATGTCAGTTTCCCCTTTTTGTACTTGTAACTCAAGAATGCACGCAAATATATAAGGGGCAGAGTTTGCATCGAAATGTCACAGGATGGTTCATCAGCCTAAGATGTCAATATCACAGACCCCGTTATAATTATGACTTCAAATCTGGGACATTCAAGATGCTAAATAAAGTCCTATGAGAAATTACTTTCCTCATACTTTAGAGCCTGCTATTGACAGCAACCTGGGGAAAAAATCATGGTCAAAGATATGGATAGAAATGCTTACTTTTGAAGAAAATATACATTTTACAAAATAAATTAAATATACATGACTTTTGCTTAAACTCTATATAGAATTTTTTAAAGTTTAGGTTCTTTTTTTACTGAATTTATCTTTACAGGTAGTCCCCAGTTTAAGAATGAGTTCCGTTCCCAAAGTCTGTCCTTAAGTCAAATTTGTATGTAAGCCGAAACAGTATTTTGTATACTATTGTATAAGTAGTATTGTGTAATGAACTCAAAGCATTGTGTATTCAACTCGAATCATTGTGTATTTAACTTGAATTTTGCTACAGTAGGCTCCATTCTTAACTATGGGTCATCCCTAAACCGGGCGTTCTTAACCTGGGGACTGTCTGTACTCCATTTTAATAGAGTCAAATTTTGCCCATTTCTCCCCCTAGAATTGAAATGAAATATGCATGAATTAGCAAGGTGGATTCCCTCTCCTATCCCTCTCTGGACCTGCAAGTGCATATTAAGGAAATTTATTATTCCCTGGTGACAGATGATATTCTTTCACTTTTAAACACTTTATTTGTGCTCTCATGAAGAGGTTTTCTGCTATAATCCATGAAAATCTGATGATGAGATTTACACCTCAGATAAGGAGAGAATACTAGGCAGGGGTGTCATGTGGGGGGGGAGGGTAAAAAAATCAAGATGGTAGCCTTAAGCAGGCAATCAGAGCCTCATCCTTTTAAAGGCTACCATCTTGGCTACTATCTTGACTTTTGTGACCCCCCTCCCCCGCAGACATCCCTGACAGAGATTCTAAAAAAATCAGCAGTTCCAATTCTTATAATCATTATTATAATTAAATATAAATATAAACTTGAGCTGTACATTGTTCGTTTTGGGGGCAGCTGGGGGAAAGGGAAGCTATAGTTCCAAGGTTTGCAGGAAGGCCTCTAGCGAAAGAGAGATCAGCTTGATGAGCTTGGTTATTGCTAACTATAAGGCAGGATTTCTCTGCTTCACAACTTGAAACGCACCCACACACGCACGCACCCCACACACCCATCCATCCATCTTCTTTGTAAGGCCACTCAAATGCTCCCCTCTTCCGTTGGCACTTTGGCATGGTGCTGCTTCCCTCAGAAGGAGACGGGGCTGGGGTGAACCCTCTTGGCCTTGCATGTTAGCAAGGATCAGAAGCAGCTTTCCTCTTGGTGTCACAACCAGATGAGTGAGCTTCTAAAGAAGCAACCTTGCCAATTGGGAATTCCTTCATTACTCCTGGTCACAGTAACAACACACCCTGACAAACGACTGGTTTGTTTCTTTGGGCTGGGTTATTTCCCGCACACCCTGGCAGTCTAAGCTGATGCAAAGATATCTGGACGCAGTATCACAACGTTCTAAAAGGGCGACCTTTTAACATGGGTAGTGAATGTGCTGGTGCTGGTGTACTTTGCCTTCCACATGTGAATGGGTGTGAGTGTGGATGTCTGTATAAATCTTTGGGTACATTTTGGAAGCCGTGTTTGGAGCCAGGACTGGCCCTTGGGTCAGCAAGTGCTGCTGCTGGGCTACATATTCCTCATAGTTGATGGAGGACAAACAGTCTTTATCGGAGACCTGGGCTGTGCAGACCCGGTCCCGAGGCTGGGTCCTGTGTCCTGGAGTTGCAGCTGGAGGCGAACATGGCTTCTTCTTGGTTTGGCAGAGCCAGAGGATGATTGTCCCAAAGATGAAGACAGCTCCAGCTGGGATCCCAATGATTACAGGCCATGGTAGACTGCTGGCAGAAGGGGCCATTGGTTGGCTGGGGGGCTTGGGATCTGCATGAGATAAAGAACAAAAAAAGAGGAGAGGAATTAGAACCAGGCCAGGAAATTTCAGAACAGCAAGCTGGGTTTGGCATCCACTCCCCTGAATTATGCCTTATTTGGCATCTTTCTTTCAGCCATTTCAAATCATGGAATGGAACTGAAGAATCTGGAAGAACGACCAAGAAGCCAGAGAGCTGAACTAGCATTATGTGACCTCATTATGCAGGACAGCAGCTCAGCTTAGATGTATCACCAGGTTTTTGTCATGGCCACGTTGTGCAGGCAAGACCGCCAAAGATTCTGGAGAGGTTGTGGAGACACCAGGATGTTCACACATGAAGAGCTTTTTCAGGTATTCTGAACTCCAGAGAAATTGTCTGGGTTCAGAGAGTTTTGTTTCAAAGTCAGAACAAAACATGCTCCCTCTTACATGCAAACAGGGATCCTAAAACTACAACAGTGAGAAGGGAGGTGCCCTTAACTCTTTCTTTGCCTTACACTTCTCTTCAGTAAATACACCTAAGGCTATTCTAAATGTTCTGCTTGTCACATCAATGCCTTTGGAATCCTGTGGAGGAGAAACATCTGGTTGAATTATTTAGAGCAAGGAAGTGGTAAGGAAAAGAGAGTTAAGTATCCTGCTCTTCTTCAATCCAAACAATCTACTTTCAGATCTTCTTTTCACCAAAAGATGTGATAGTTCAAGGTCAGTGACAGGTGCTTGCATGTAATGTGTAGTTCATCCCTAGAGCCTTTGCCTCCAGGGAGAGCATATGCAGAATCCAACGTTACCAGGTTTGTATTTACAGTCCACCTTCCCTTCAACTCTCAGAGCCCAGAGATACAGAGATGTTATATTATGTCATGCCCCCATGTATGGGGTTTTACATGAACTTCTTGGAGGGGAGGGAAATTTCTCTATATTTATACTGTGTCCTCAGAGGTGGGTAGCCAGATGTTATTCTATGAGGTTCAAACCCATTGCCAAGAATTGATCCAAGGATCTGGATAGTTCCTAAAGCTGATCCACCATATATAGTCAACTTAAAGTGTGAAAGTTCATGAGTTCCAATTTCTGGTAGGGGTTCGAACCCCACAGAATAACACCTGGCCACCCATCTCTGAGGAGTCCCAGTAAGGATGAAACTGGTCACGTGGTGCCTCCTGGTGGCCACTGTAATTGAGAATCCATTGCTAAAACCTTCCAAATGACCTCTTTTGGTCTGGGTAGAAGGCTAAACAGTTTTGTGGATAACGAAGTTAATTTCCAGTCCCAAACATTGCTTTTTCTGTGTTTTGAATAAAAGCAATGCTTTTGTTTTCATATACAAAGCTCACAGGACAAATCTAGGGTTAGATCTGTTGGGCTAAAATCAGCCATTTTTATAGGAATGCCTTTTAGTTCTGAAATTTAGGAGGGCTGCTTTGTCATCACAGATCCCTGTTACGGGGAACAAAATTGAAATGAGGGATAAAAAAAGCCAAATAAAAGACATAAGAGAATTTATAAGAAAATAAGCAAGGCCTTGACGTCTCTCACGTAGTCTTCTATAGAATTAATGCCATTTCTGTGTTTTGTGTTTTAAGGCAATATGCTATTCCATTCCATTCCATTCCATTCCATTCCATTCCATTCCATTCCATGTATTTTTACTGTAATCTACTGAAGGGTTAAACACTAAGGATGTCAAAGAAATCCAAACAGATATTAATTTCTGGGGCTAATAAGGGGGATTGAAGCCCAAGGGCAATTAAAGTACGAAGTCTGCAAATTTCAGCTTGGCATAAGTTTTAAAATGTGTATATTTCAAATGTGAAAAAGCATACATTTCGGACAGCTATTTAAGCACATATTTTTAAAAGTTGCATGCAAAACTGTTAATGGTTGGGCATGCCAACCATAATAATTCTTTTTTTAAGATGCACCACAAGTAGATGATGACATGGACCAGAGTTAGCTTGATCTGCTCATCTCAAATGTTGATGAGTTTCTAATTCCTGTTCTACAGGAGATGAGTAAGTAACTTCCATTTCCCAGTGGGGTTTTTTGTTTGTTTTTTATTATTTTTTCTTTTTTGTAAGAAGCATCTTTCAGAATAATTGTGGTAGCTGAAAATAAGGTTCATTTAGTTGTTCTCAATGTTAGCCAATCTTAGTTTGAGTGAAGTTGATTGGACATGGGTGATATAGGCTCAGAGCTCAAAGTTCAGTTACAAAGTTTAAGAAAACAAAATTAATACAAATAAATACACCGAGGAAAGACTGAATGGTTAGTAGTTAGTAGGTTGAAATGAACATCTCACCTGGCAACACGGTGAGAAATGCACTTCGGAAGCTATATCCCATAGTGTTTGCACCTAGGCAGATGTACATGCCAGCATCTTCTTCCTTAGCTCGTGTGATCATAAGTTTGTTCAGATAGGAGCCATCAGGACGAGACCAAACGTCCCCGGTGGGCAGTACCACAAACTTCTGCCCGCCAACATCAATGGTGGAATTGTATCTGTTCTCTGTGCCATATTCCACTCTCTTCAGCCACTGGATCACAGGTTTCACATCACTCCTCACCTTACACTGGAATGAGGTTGTTCCTCCATAGTCTACAGTTGTGTTCACAGGGTGTGTTCCGGTAAGAATTGGCTTGGATCGTGTTCTCTCTAGAAATAAGTACAGGCAATCAGTTTCTCTTTCTTATGAGTTCCCTAAACCTTCCATGTGATGGAGCATTTAGTCCTTCTCTCAATGCCAAAGAAATCAAATGCAACCAGAAATTAAGTTTCAAAAGAATCCACAAGGTTTGTTAATCTTCTGTAAGAACTGTAATCAATCCATCAATTAATTACTTGAATTAATTCAATCATTTCTAAATTAAAAGCTAGTATCACTCAATCGCTTTTTAACACATTGCAACTGTTAACCTGAATGTGCGTAAGCATCCTGTCTTCCCTTCCCGTGCCCCATCCGTTTAGTGACTCTGTGCATTTGTGGTTCACAACAGCTTATGTCTCTTAATAAAAATGCATTCATCTAAAAGGTCCCACTGACTCCTAGTTTGCAGATCCAAGTTGGATTTACATTTTGCTGGCAAAAGTGGTTCCATTGTCTATATATCCGGTAGGACAATTCCCTCCATGGATCATAGTTCTTTTAAAGGAAAGCCAGAAAAGATGTACCAATTTAATAATGATTGCAGAGCCATTCTAGTGAAGAACACAGATCATAAGATGTGAGCCTGCCAACTGCACCAAAATGATCATGGAAATTGTGAGGATTAAAGCTGGAAAGGCAGTTAATCCTCACAATTTTGACAGGCAGATGAGCAGACAAGAGCCCAAGAGCTCAGACAGAATAGCCAGAACGTTTGAGGATAAATCTCTTACGTGTCCCTCAGGAAGCTGTTTGTAATAACCCTTCAAATCTTTTTAATAGCCAAAATCTGGCAATTTATGCCCGTCCCACAAAGGTTAACAAAAAGATGCTGTCCTTCTTTATCTTGAGGAGAACCAAGATAAATGGGAAGAGCAGAACTGTGACAAACACTGCCTGGTTTTGATGAAGGGGAAATGCTACATCGTACATGAAGCTGAGACTTGATTCATCTCCCTGTTTCTGCTCCTGGTTTTAATGTAAACACATGTTTTTACTGCTCCACACAGCTGCATCTTTATCAGTCCCAGATGTCCAACAGGCTTGTATCATCTACTCACAACAGGATTCCTCCACATGTGCTTTTCATTCACATTTTTATGTAACTGAAAAAATTATCATCGACGGGCTGATCATTTCAAGCGCTCTAATTGGATATTGGCTTGTGAATAGAAAGTTCCCGCCCCCAGCCTAGCCAGTGCGATAGTGGGACCCCAGCACATCCCTCTGTTGTCGACTTAGACTGGATGGGTAATTTCGGGGGTGGGGGGGGCAAGGTAGCAGTTACTTAAGCATGGATCCAGAGCATCTGCAAGGGGATAAAAAATGCTGAAATGGCAGCCCTGTTTCTTTGTTATGAGTACTGTGCATGCAACTTATGATGCCTGTAAAGAAAGAGGGTGGTGCTTCTTCACATGGACCCAGTTGCTATTTAGACTTTTTTTGACCCTCTCCCCACACACAACCCCTGCGCAGGACTGAGCAGTCATAATAGGTCCTGCTCTCCTGCTGCAGAGACACAGCTGAGACTGACCACGCAACTGTGAACACTGTTGAGGTTCCAAGTAATTCCAACTTCCTGTTGTTTCTTGGCTGGATCATTCAGATCTTTCACATTTTTTTCTTCTGTTGAGTGGCAGCCAATTGAGAGCCTTCTGATAAATGTTTTAAATGGTCCTATTTCATTCCAACTTCAAAATGAAAACATTCTTCCCATTTTGTACATGTTGCAATATAATAATAATAATTTATTAAACATGTATGCTGCCTGACTCTATCTTATCAATTGTTGATCCTCTTTCCATAGGCACACCTGATCCAAAAGCAAAGCTCTGATATGGATTATACTGTAATTCTGGCCCAACAGGCAGTTGTTTCTACAAAGCTTGCCCGCCTTTTCATATCTTGTAGTATCCACTATACTATTTACATCTCAGAATTGGACAGAGTTTAAAATTATTTCAAATCATTTCTGATCCCTCAACATGTTTCCTCAGAAGCAGATGTTCCCCTCCCCTGCAGATAAAATGGGCTGAGTCTTGGTGCCAGACAAATGTGTCCAGGACCAGAGATTTTGTCAGCCTTTCATGCTCAGTTGTGGTTCAATACTTACGGATCACTTCAACTTTGTAGGTGGCGTTGATTTCTCCCATTCTGTTGAAAACACGACAGGTGTATTTCCCACTGTCCTCGGGCTTCAGGTTCTTCAAATTCAGTGTCCATCTCTTCCTTTTGTTCTCGCCAATCTCCCGTGATGTGAGAGGCTTGTTGTCTTTTAGCCAGCTGATGTCTGGCCGTGGGTTCCCACTGGCCACGCATTTCAGGCGGATTGAACTCCCCACAGGACGGGCTATCACACGTTGTCTCATCTTAGCAGGCTGCGTAAATCTTGGTCGAGCTATAAAGGTAAGCAAGGCACCCGGAAAAGAATCACTAAGAAACATGCCGTAAGCAGAAAATCTAACAGCAAAGAATAATATGAGCGATATGCCTATAACGTGGGATAGTGTTTTAGAATACAAAGCCAACATCTTTCTATTATAGCTAAATATACATCACAAACATAATACACACACACACACAAACACCTTTCTTATAATGGTTTGATAGAAACAAGAGAAGTTTACACCAAACACTGCCTTGTTCCTTCTGCTATGTTGTTGTTTACTGTGTGGATTTCCTCCTTATTACAAATTTCCTTCAAAAAATTATGGCCAAACTTCACCCAATTCCTTTCAGAAAAGGGGGAGAGCTTTTGCTTAAATGTAGTTGCACCTTTTGAATAAATTACTGTTTAATATTCATACTGAAATAAATTATCTTTATACGAAGAACAAAAGTTCAGTAATATTTATTGGGCTTAACTTGATGAAAACTTCATGCAGGCCCAGCTTTATTAAAATAGATGAAATAAAGTTTTAACATGCTGCTTAACAGTTCTGTCTTCAGTAATTCTGCTTTAAGGAAATAAAATAAAGATGTCCATTGGCAGCATTTCTTTTCCTGCTGACTTTAAAACCAGCATCAATCGGCTATAATGTTGAAACATTAAAGAAATGTGATTTTAAAACCAAACAAAACACAAGGCTTACACAAATATTTGTAAATACAGTGGTTCTTGGTTGATATCTATATTTCTAGATTCTACAAAGAAAATGGAGATAAATAATTTGCTTCATTAAACCTATAAATGAGCATAGATCACATTAAAGGTAAATTGGGGGTATTAAATATATGGGTTAAAAATGTTAAAATGGTATCTACAGATTTGAGATTATGGTTGATTTATCTAAAAATTGTATTTAGGTGTATATTGGACTCCCCAAAGAAATAATGTATTTGAAAGGATGGAGAGCAGATTTTTTTTATGCTGGAGGTATAAAAAAATGTGAGGGCTCACTGACCTCAATATAGTCATGTGATCATTTAGTATCCTTTTGGGATGGTGCGTTAATGTATATAAGCAGATTTATGGGAAAATCTCTAAATGTTAAAGATGTTAATCTAATGTTGAATTATATACCAAAGCTCTGGAATTTGACTGTTTATCAGGAATTGTGGTTTTATCAAGCATGGAGGGGGAGTGGCTAAAAGAATTGTATTAAGAAATTAGAAAAGTGATATTATTCCAGATGTCAAGGAATGGTGTTGGAAATATGTCACCTATCTCTTTTGGAAAAGGCAATATTTTGTATTAATCAAAGGATGCAACAATATGTGTTACTATGGCAGAGATTCTGTGATATCTTACAATAATACCTCCATATCATGATTGTGAATTCATTGGGAATCCAGTGACTGTAGATAAGCATAAAATATTAGATTTTTTCCCCTTTTCCTTCTTAATTGGGATTTTTAGTTTGTACTTCTAATTTTTTTTTAAAAAATTCTCTTTTTCTTTAAGACTAAAGATTGTTTTGTTAAAAAAATAAAGATAAATAAATAAAAGGATATTAAATATATGGGTACACATGACGACAAAAAATATTCACTCATTGGAAATATTCTCAAAAGGTATTAAGCGATTTAGAGTGTAATTGTATGCATTTGGAAACAGGTTCCCCTGAGATCTGTGGCATCTGCGGGAAACTGCAGTGACACCAAGATGGTGGGTCATAGTGACATCATCAGGTAAAAGCCATGATTATGTACCTGCATCTCAATGTCTGATGCAAGTAGGCAAGTTGTGGCATTTGTGTGATATCATTGTCCATTGCTCCAGACCCCCATGAGTGAGTTCCATGAGGTCTGCCATATTTAAATGCATTTAACCTCAGTGAGCATTCCTGAACACAACAGGCCCTTTTTCTGAGTAGACAGACATAGAGGGATCCTTTATCAGTGTCACTGTTCAAGAAGACTAAGTCCTAGGCAATTAGCTTAGGCCTCAGTGAATCAGGTGCAACCTGATTCAAATCATTGCTTTGATTTGATCTGATTCATAAATTAATTTGATACAGACATTAGAACTGAATTGGAAAAAGCAACTTCTGGGCCATCAACCTGTAGACATCCAATCCAACAATACAGATCGACTCTCCAATTCAGTTCAGGTCAATGTGTTTCACAGATCCAATCAAATGAAAAAAAAATATGCCAAATTCCAAAACCTCTGTATGTATCTTTCCTGTAATTTGGCAGGTTTCTTACCAAGTGACAGCTCTATGAGATCTACAGTAGAAGCAATAAGCAGGATTAGGGAACATTTTTTAAAATAGCTTCAGAAGAATCCAGTCTCTTAAACATGAAATTTGGCAAGCTTGATCCTTGCAAAAGGTACCTACATCTATTTCTGTCCAAAGTTGGTGGGGAAGCAAATGGTATTCATAGGTTTTCTTTCTCAAGAGTGTCAAATCTAAACTCTTTTTATTCTGGAGGCAAAGAATAACTTCTATTCAATCCCAAGTGGCAGGTGGCAGCAGAGAGCAGAGGACAGAAGATTAGCCCATGTTGGTCCAATGTTCTACCACTTTCAACTCCTCAGCATCTGTTAGCTGGAGTGCCTGTTTCACTCATTTAACAGTAAGGCCATCTGTGTCTCCAGTCTTCCAAGCAACCTTTCCGATCTTGTTCTGTCAGGCTTTTAGTCTGGTCAAAGGGTTAAGATGGCTTGGATTATCTTGAAGAAAGCAAGGGAAATACATCTTTATTGGATTTGTTAAACCTATCATCATCTTTCAGCATGGCGGGCCATGTTATCTCACTGTGGTACTTGTACTAAGTGGCACCACAGATTGTGATGATGGAGGATTATCTCAGATTGTGATGTTGGAACTGATCTGCAGGATGCCATTAAGAGAGATGGTTTGATATTCTGGAGTTAAGGTGTCAACCATATGGCGATGGCTCTTTTCGTCAGGTCCAAGAGCAGCAGCTTCATCTCAGCGCCACTGTCTGACAGCTGTGATGAGCCAGATAAGAGCAATTCGTCTGGATGAAAAAAGATGGAATTAACGGATGGGCCTAAGATTTGGAGAAGAAAAGGAAATGCAGAACTATCTCTAGATCTCATCCTGGATCTCAGAAGAAATGGTAGACAAAAATCAGCACTAGTCAAGGAGTTCCAACTGAAGCAACTATTAAATTTGCTTTTGAAACCTGTACTGTGTAACTATTTTAATCTCAAAAAGTTACATATTTATTATGGTATTTGCTTTGATAGTCTAACAGCCTTTTTAACACCTGCACAAGTTGCTATAAAGGTAGGAGGTGGAGCTATAAGTAGACAGGTCAGAAGGAAATTAACATGTAAAATGAATGCAATTTGCATTTGTCACTACTGCTTACAATTACAATGGGGCAGATATGTCTGCCAATTTAGAACAATGCTTTATGTATCCAATGATAATAATTAAGTAACTGAAATAGTTACAAATGAAACTTAGTTTTGAATATAACTTAACCAAGCAAATTAAATTTTAGGGGGTTATTTTCCCTTGCATGGATATATCTTCAAGCTATAGCCTGCATGGGTTATAGAGAAGCAGGGAACTTTCATCACATTTTAAACTCTTTCGTCTTCCATATTACATCTATACACTTAAGCAATCCTATATGTATTGTTATAAAACCTAATCTTCAATTCAAGCTTGAAGACCTAAATTTATCTATCTGCTAATATTCCCCTAGTTAACTACACTGTGCTGGAATAGATTGAAGGCAAAAGAAGAGGACGGCAGAGGATGAGATGGTTAGATAGCATCACTGAAGCAATGAGCATGAAACTGAGCAAACTCAGGGAGGCAGTGAAGGACAGGAAGGCCTGGCGCGAAATGGTTCATGGGGTCACGAAGAGTCAGACACAACTTAATGACTGAACAACAACTACACTGTGCAATTTGCTCACCTGGACAATACTTATACTGATGTCAGTTAATTACTCATACACATCTACACATGTCGGACAACACATCTGACTGAGGACAACTGTAAAACTCCTGAAAAGGTGCCTCAGAAGCCTTCTTCCTCTTAAGCCCTCCTTAAGAAAACAATCCAAGATAATGCATGGCTTGAAGTCTCGATTTATGACCTTGAGTAACTGAGATGCATTGATGCATTTCCATATTATCTATCTCCCAAGCAGTGTTTTTGAGCAAAACGGGCTGAAATGCGTGGAATAAATAGATTAATAAATCATTTTGGAATTAATGCAATGATTGATGGTGCAAAGGGTTCAGAGGGCTGCTGAGTTTTTCCTAGATAGAGTGGCTTGGCAAATATAGTCTGCAACTGGTGATTGCATTTGGCTCCTTTGCAGGCAGTGGGTTGGCAGGCTTGGTCTGTTCCCTTCCAGATTCTCCTCCTTATCTTGGCCCTCCAACAACAGGGTAAGACTGATCCTCCTTCCCTAGAAACAATGTGGAAGTGGGAAAGGCTGCATGTAAGGCTACTGTGTGAGTCGGTTTTAAAGCGGAGACTTTTGCTCTTAGCTCACCCCCATTCCCCTCCTGGTCAGCTCATCCATCTCTTCTCACACATTGACCTCATATTTCAGATGCATTCAAGGGGGAATCCAACTCAACATCTCCCTCTGCTCGAGCGTGCACCCAGAAACACTTTGAGTCCGAGCAAGAACAAATACCCCATCTCAACATTCTGGGTCTCAGCTACATCAGGAGATTTTATTTCAGTCTCTTCTTATGCTTTGCACAGAAATGCTTTGCTCTTTGCTCCGAGGCTTTCATGTGTAACCTAATGAACAACTTAGCGGACAGCTGGAGTGACAAGTGTGACATCCTAGCTCTTTCTATAGGGATTGGGGTGTAGGTCTTCCCCTGATGATCTTGAAAGGGGAGGTAGGAGAAACTCTCCTATCCAAGACAGTTTGTTATAACCCTGCAGCGTCCATCCATTTACTAGTTCATGTAACCTCTGAATGCCACCACCCATGTTTGCAGCACACGCATTTACAAAAGTAAAAATCCAGTCTATGTTAAATAAGTTACCAATTAAAATTGTCATCTTATTAGAAGATTGCAATTTAAGATTGCTGAATTACAAAGGATATAACCGTAGGGAAACAGTTGTGTAACTATTTT